CCCCCCCCCCCCCCCGCTGTGTGCGGCCCTGCATGCATGAATTAATTAGCCTGTCCTGAGAGAGTAAGTAGTGTAAGTTGGACATGTACTTTAAGGTAAACATATGTGCAAATTTTGGTCGACATTACATTAAGGCTAGTATAAAAAATAGTCAAACGGACAATTCCTTCGTAGCAGAATGGACGCAAGGATCATTTAATTGATTACCTAATATGATGTGCATTATACAATTACTTTATGGTTTCCGTGTTTGGATGGCCTGATCCAAATACGCGGGAATGTTCCGTGTTTGGATGGCCTGATCCAAACACGCGGGAATGTTCCGTGTTTGGATGGCCTGATCCAAACACGCGGGAACGATAGTCTTCCGTGTTTGGATGGCCTGATCCAAACACGGGTTTCGACCAATCAGAACACGCGTTATATACATGTTATTTTATAAATTTTATTATTTCAGTCTCCGCTATACAGATTATGATTCAATTTTATGTCACATCAGCTAAAATTAGCGCAATCTCCCGAATTGATCTATCAGACTATCACTAAGGCTGCATGTGTTCACACTGTATCGATAGCTTTCCATAGCGACATGAAAAACAGCTATCCGTACCTTTTAGGAACGCTATTTTCAGAGGAATTATTGTAACGGAGATGTTGTTTCGCTCAGCTTCTGAAAGTTGTACATTCCGTATGGGATAGGTGCTTTTTCGCGCCACAACGGAAACCTATCCGGGGCACAGTGTAAACATAGAATCATACTAGACCGTAAAGTTTCCAACAGAAAAACCGAATAACATTTATCCTACCTTTTAGGTTGGCGGGCGACGTTCCGTTTTCTGAGCGGTACTGCGTCAATGCTATTTATAGCTGTATGGTTATTCCGTCCTCTGGCTGGTAGAAAGGTAAAGAACGAGGAGACAGCCCATCCGTGTGTCGATCTAAATATTTGGAGAAATAAATCTTTTATTGTTTGGGTTCTCGCTATTTCTTTCTTTCTTTTTGGTTATTTCATTCCATTTGTTCATTTGGTAAGTTGCAATAATGATTATACACAATACTTTTGATAACTGTATTATAATGTATAAACTCCTAATATAACTTATAAAATAGCAATGATTTCACATTAATATAGAGTGGCTACGTCTCATCCTATATAGGTACGGCTGGCAGGCCTTCAGGGAGTCTCAAGCAGCAAAGCAGCTTGGCTGATAGGATACCTCTCAATAGCGTCAACCGTTGGCCGAGTGTTTTTTGGGAAAATTGGAGACATGAAACGTGTTAATAGACTCTTGATGTTTCAGTTTTCGATACTAATAATTGGAGCGTCGACAGCATTGCTATCTTTGGCGACAAGCTATGTCGGTCTGGTGTTATACGCCATCACATTTGGTTTCTTTGATGGTTGTTTTGTTGGTCAAGTGGCAGTCGTGACTTCTAGTATTGTAGGAATGAAACATCTGGGAGTTGCTTTGGGTTATCTCTTTGGTTCTATTGCTATACCTATGACACTTGGACCCCCTGTAGCAGGTAAACTTCTTGAACGATCTGTGTAGGTAGTGAAAAAAACACGAGAAAACTGCAGATTGTGAGAGATCCAGGCTTTTAGCCAAGGTCCTAAAAGAGGGCGTCCAATTTTGGTCTAATGAAACGTCTACAGTAAGGGGGGGGGGGGGTCGAGAAAACGTTCCTTTGGGAAACCTTTGAACTTTACGTTACTTCTTGTCAGTATCTGTTCCAAGCTCGTTCGAAATTTTCAAACACACTTGGCTTTGTGAGTTTGTGTCGCAAAATTGGGGATTTTCTGGTTGTCAGCGAATTTTTATTTGGGCATATATGATTTGGGGCATCTACACAGCACACACAATAACTAACTTTTCCATCAGACTACAAACCCCTTCTCTAATAGTGAACAATTCATATTTCTTTCACCAGGTTGGGTTTATGATGCATGGCAGTCATACAACGTGGCATTTTACGTCGCGGGCAGCACGAGTTTCCTCGGCTTTCTTACGATGTTCTTTATACCAAGATTGGTGAAGAAACATTCAGAAACGTGGGAAAAACAGTTCGACTTCAAACGAAGAGCATCGATTGACAGTCGTCGCAAACTCTTATCCAGCACTGATGAAGGGCCAGCCATACCAGGGAATTATGAAATTGAAGTGTTTTCAACAGCGGAAAATAGTGATGTTGTCACACAGATTGCGGTAGAGAGGCCTAACTACAATCGCGGTAGGCGACGATCATTACCTGCCCTTTACATGACCAACACTCCCAGCCCCAGCGTCGATAAATCACGCCTATCTCCAGGATTACAAAAAATCGTTCAGATGTCTGCCGAAATGAGTTCAGACAATCGGGTGAACTCCAACAACTCTCCCCTTCTGTCTCCAACTCGCAACAGTGGTGGTAACTTGGCAACGGATAAGCCACGCCCTAACCGCACCCGAGCCAGACGAGGCTCCATGCCTGCAATTGCTTATAAACCTGGTAACCCAACCAGAGATACCACTAAGCCACCCCGGGTCACACAACTGTTGCTGGTCGACGCTAACCTGCTTGCACAACAAGGAATACCATTGGTCAGTGTAAACACACCACCCAAAGTAAACCGAAATAAGAGACGGGGATCACTTCCGGCTGTGAATTACCCGAATCTCGCAAACCTACCCAGCGCACCAAAACCCATTCAGCCAAAAGCATACAACCTCAACAGAAGACGAGGGTCCTTGCCAGCAGTGTCATCACTCACCATCCCAGAGGAGAACTACAATAATGGTTTAATACCAAAGAAAAATAGATTGTCCGCAGGGTTGGCCATTCGCATTGACGACGCCCTAAAAGATTCCATCGATGAGCTCGAAGAGGAGGGACACCAGGACAATTTAGGACAGGCCAGATTATCGATCGCATCTAGTGGCTATGATACCAATGGCTGTTCACCTGCAGATAATTCTGGGATAGGATTGCTTGCTGAGACCAAAACAGCAGAGTAGATGTAATAATTATAACAATAAGATCCAATACACCATTCCGGAAAGTACTAGCTTAGCCTTGGCTATTTTCAGATTAATATGAAACTAGTTTTTCGTATCTCTGAGCAGCGGCGGCGGAACAGATTTCGTTCTGGGGGGGCTAAATTTTTTCGGCGACCTCCCCCCCCCAATATACAAAAAAAGGGACGGAAAAATTTTTTCGGACTTATATCAAAAAAATTTTTCGGAAAACACTTTTTTTAAACAAAATATTGCAAATTTGTTCCCTTATACCTAAATTTTCAAAAAATAACCTAAATTTTTCCCTAATTATCAAAATTTTTTCAAAAAATTCAAATTTTCTGGGGGGGCTAAGCCCCCCCCCCACTTTTACTTCTGGGGGGGCTTTAGCCCCCCCCTGTTCCGCCACCCCTGTCTCTGAGGATGGTTCTGAAATAGCCTTGGCTATAGAGCCTCGTTTTCGGAATTGAGATATCAGCTTTAGAGATTGTTGAAAGGTAGATTGGCACTTAACCCTGGGTTAAAATTTAACCTGCTGTTTTAGTTTATGTATTTCTGCACGTCTGTTTATTTCAAAACTTCAGAGAAATTCCTACTAATCCAGACAAGATTTTTCAAGAAATATTTCCAAAATTTATAAACAAGCTGTTGCCAGGATGTTTGTTTAGAATTTTGGTTAACCTTGGCTTAAGCTAATCAACTTTCGAACAACTGGCCCAAGACGATCACATAAATTTATCTTAATCATCTGAATAGGCCATTTCCAAATTACGCTCAAATGCCCACAGACAATAATAGCCAAAGAAATTGGGATTCCAATAGGAATTTCTGTTGGAAATTGCCCCTCATTCCAATTAGAACCAATTGGAATTCCAATAGAAATTTTTAATATTCCTATTGGAATCCAATGACAGAAAAACTCATTCCAACCAGAAATTCCCAAATTAGAATTGCACTTAAGGCTTTGTATGAAGTTCTAATTTTCTGTTGCAAATTTAGACAAAGCTCCAACTTCAGTTGTTATTGTTCTTGACAACTTGAGAGTAATTCAGAAACAGCCTATGGATTTTTGCACACAAAATCTTGACAAATGATTGAGAGGCATGTAACTATAAAGGACTGCTCTGAATATAGCATATAGATTATTAACCTGTCCTTCTTGTAATTATTTCTGAAAATCCATATTTGGTGAAATTAATATCATTTATTAATATTTAGTTTCCTCCATTGGAAAAGCTTTCCATGCTATATTTCAATCATCTTGCTGGGAAGATATGTCCCAGCAATGCACGCTGACAAGTATGCAACATATTCAATGCTGGTATGTCTTGTGTAGACCTCAGAATTCAGGTCAGCTATCAACCTGATGACTGCGAACTATCATTTTCTTCGCCTTGTGCAAACTAGATTTCTCGAGATTTCTAGCCTTTTTTCCCGAAGTAGAAATGTTTCCTAACCATGCTGCCCGAAGGTGAACAAACAAGGACACAATGTTTCCTAGCCATTATTCTCAAAAGTGAGCAAACTAGGACATAGTTGTAGGTTGTCAAAAATATTTTAAACATACTTTAAAAATTAACAATATTTGCAAGTTCAATACTCACCACATAAAACTCGGCCAAAACAGATCCAAAATGTAAAAAAATACGTAGATTTCACATTTTTATCCTTCCCTTAGCCATTTCAGTTCATTCGAAAGCTTTATTCAACCAAAAGGACCTCTTATTTTCCATTTTAAAAGAAGAAAATACAAAATTCCTGCACTTTTGACAGCCATGTTCGAACTTCCAAAATCAACTTGTCCGCACATAAAAATCCAGCATTCTGATTGGATCTCGCGAGTCTTTATGGGCTTTTGATTGGCTGATCAAAGACGCAAATTGAAGATCATTCTGAAAGTTAAGGCGGGAATCACTGGCGGGAATACGCGTTAATCGACCTTTTCAACTATAACAACGCCATCTTGAACTCGCAATTAATTGTGGTCTATGGCGAATTGAGTGACATATGTGATTCTTGGAAAGTTGAATAAATAATTTTAATATCTGTATTGATTCACATTTTCGTGTTGACGAATGGTAAATTATTTGCGCTAAGATTTAGTGGCCAAAATATTGTTTCTATTAGATAAATATGGACTTTTAAGCATGAAAGCTAGTGAAGGAAAAGTTGCGCTTTCAACTGCTGTGAAAATACTAATACGGCGTTATGTTATATGTGCTCTGTACAACAGAATAAAGATCAATAACAGAAGGGCCACTCAGCGGTGTAACGTGTCTTCGTTTTTTTATGCAAAAATATGCAGTTTACTGGCCAGAAGGCGTAGCAGCCAGCCAGTACAGCGTGTTTATTGCCCAGAAAATGTCATTGACTGGCTAGGAAAATGGCGGCCAACATGCGTAATGCGACATGCGCGAGGACAAAAACTTCAAAACTTCCGACGTAAGTGGCCCTTCTGTATGGATCTTTATTCTGTGCTCTGTACTGAACTGACGAATATTGCACCAAAATTTACAATTAAATACTAGAAATACACCCAGGTGCAAAACAAACACAGACTGAACACACAAGACTGCTTATGTCCGCAGACCTTTCCTGCTGCCCATTTCACTGCGTAATGGCAAAGTACTTTCAGCCCATGTGTTAGGCTTGGACAACAAAAACTGCCATAATGTCACTTCTTCTCCCGTGCAATCATCCCATGACTTATCACTAGTTCCCAGGCCTATACGGACTCCTCCTATAAAGTCATTACTAGTGCCCAGGTCATGATCCCACACGGTCAATTCTAAAACACGATGCTGGAGGTCATCTATAGTCATGTCATCGTAAGAAAATTTGTAATCCCATCGCGGGTTTAAATTTCGCTTCTTAACCGGCGTTTTTCTTTTGCTTTTCTTCTCCGGATCTGGTAGAAGATAGCTAGAATAAAACAGAAAAATAGTTAGACTGTGCATTCTGTCGATGATTGATGGAACAACCTCGTTTCCAGGTGAAGGGAAAATGCCCTGGGAACGAGGTTGTTGATGGAAATTTTCGAGTGTGAATTTTATATATTTATTGAGACCTAATAACCAGGAACAGTTGTGAAAAATGCAACTATAGGCCCTTGGCAGGAATCAAACCTGAGGCCCTCCGGTGCAGCGCTCTAACCAACTGAGCTACAGAGAAACAGTTGTCGAGATCTAACCAACTGAGCTACAGAGAGACGGTTGTCGAGCTCTAACCAACTGAACTACAGAGAGACAGTTGTTGAGCTCTAACCAACTGAACTACAGAGAGACAGTTGTCGAGCTCTAACCAACTGAGCTACAGAGAGACAGTTGTCGAGCTCCAACCAACTGAGCTACAGAGTGACAGTTATCGAGCTTTAACCAACTGAGCTACAGAGACACAGTTGTCGAGCTCCAACCAACTGAGCTACAGAGAGACAGTTGTCGAGCTCTAACCAACTGAGCTACAGAGAGACAGTTGTTGAGCTCTAACCAGCTGAGCTACAGAGAGACAGTTGTCGAGCTCTAACCAGCTGAGCTACAGAGAGACAGTTGTCGAACTCTAACCAGCTGAGCTACAGAGAGACAGTTGTCGAGCTCTAACCAGCTGAGCTACAGAGAGACAGTTGTCGAGCTCTAACCAGCTGAGCTACAGAGAGACAGTTGTCCAGCTCTAACCAACTGAGCTACAGAGAGACAGTTGTCGAGCTCTAACCAGCTGAGCTACAGAGAGACAGTTGTCGAGCTCTAACCAACTGAGCTACAGAGAGACAGTTGTCGAGCTCTAACCAGCTGAGCTACAGAGAGACAGTTGTCGAGCTCTAGCCAACTGAGCTACAGAGAGACAGTTGTCAAGCTCTAACCAACTGAGCTACAGAGAGACAGTTGTCGAGCTCTAACCAACTGAGCTACAGAGAGACAGTTGTGGAGCTCTAACCAACTGAGCTACAGAGAGACAGTTGTCGAGCTCTAACCAACTGAGCTACAGAGAGACAGTTGTCCAGCTCTAACCAACTGAGCTACAGAGAGACAGTTGTCCAGCTCTAACCAACTGAGCTACAGAGAGACAGTTGTCGAGCTCTAACCAAC